TTGGAGGCTAAGAAAGTCATTTCATTTAATATATTTTTATTCTTAAGAACTTTGATGTTTTAGAAATGAATTCTCAGTTTTTTAAATGTACCTTATTAGGCTGGAAGCACTTACATTTTTAGAATGTAACAAAACATTCTTTTTTATGTTTTTTATTGTATTTTTATGCTCCTGTATTTTGGATTGAATTCTGACTTAAGTACTTGCCTGCAACTTAGGTGTAGTAAGATTATTATATTTTTACAAAACTGTGAATTAATTTTGTGCTTCTGGAACATAGAAGCAAGGTAGATAAATAAAGCTTATAGAAAGTAGACAAGGTGGTGTTGCCCTAGAATTGTTGCAACAATGAAAAGACTTTTAACTTGACGCCTAGATGAATTTTGACATGATAGTAAATAATTGTCTTGTTTCATTCTGGAATTAACCTTTAATTGGAATAAATACCAATATGGCAAACACAGGCTTCTGATTCCCTCCCCCCGATTACATTTCTGTAGTGTTCTTAGGAAGATAAATGTTCAGTTTTCAGAATCCCTGATCTGACAAGTTAAATACGTAATTTGAGTCTGATAAACTTCCATAATAATTTATAAAACTTTATATAGCATGAAATCTTGACCTGGTAACATGTCAGGTTCCACTACTACGCTTTCTAAGAAGAAACTGATTTCGTTTTAGCTGCCAGATTAGGAATTCTATGCTGGCAGAATTTGTTGAGTTCTGCTTATGTAATTTAGACAGGTGACTTTCTTAATTTTAAAGGTAATGGTGCTGAAATGTTACTGTTGTACTCAGTACTTTATAACTTGTTAGCACAACATTGACATCAAATCCAAATTTCTCTGAATATGATGATATGAGTACAGTGCCTATAAGGAAACTATCTGAAAAGTTACTGCAAAGTTATCCTTTAATCTGAGAGAACTCTTGGAGGTCAAGGAACATTTTTCCCCATTAGAAACTGATAGCATGTTTTCCTTCAGTGGATGTTATTCCTTCAAACTTCATACGTGACCAAACAATTTTACCCCAAACTTATTCTTCGTACATTGAAGCATTAGTTCCCATAGGAACTAATACAAAGCTGGTTAATACGTACTCTACCACTAGGGGGAGAATTTTTTTAACCTAAGATGACCTAAGGTTAAAAAAAAGAGCAGGAAAGGTTTTTTTTTCCTGTTCTTATCTTGGATTTCTGTTCTCAAGTAGAAGCAAAATTTAGCAAATGGAGCTGTTCTTAAGTTGGATTGTTCTTAAGTAGGGACGTTCTTAAGTAGAGACCCCACTGTAGCATGTTTTCCTTCAATGGATGTTATTCCTTCAAACTTCATACCTGACCAAACAATTTTACCCCAAACTTATTCTGATGTGACCAACCATACAACAAAGGCAAACCAATCTGCAATATGCAACAGGAAGATTAGTGATAAAATAAAGAGATGTCTTTTATATCTAAAGGTACGCCCACTTTTAATGATATGCAGACTACATCCTTTAGTTTGACGCATCATGTCAATGTTTCCCGCATTGCAGATTTAATATAAAGTAGGCAGGCCATGTGAATACATATCAGTCCATGTACTGAGCTATGAGATCATTGTCATTACAAAACTTTGGTCCAGGAAATAGCTTCAAATCAGGCAACATTAAAGGGTTGCGAGCCTTGTTCCTTTCAGGAATGTAGGCCTCCTAACCTCATTGGGTTAAATCCTACTATTAGTCACAACTAAGATATCTCCACTGAATCACTGGGACTTAAAAAAAAAACACTGACTTACCAAAATCCTATTGAAGTAAAGTTGAGCCACTGATCAGTGGGACTTAACTAAGTGCTGACTATACAAAGTCTCATTGATTCAATGGATTTACTGTAGCTGCGACTAGTGAAAACTGGATTTTGCCCATTCAACATATTCAAGCCTCTGTGCACAAAGGTATTTATCTATCTTGGTGTAAGAAAGACTCCATGAGAATTGTTTCCTAGTTTTAAGCAAGCAGGGACAACAATGTACTAACTAGATTCCTGACAGAAAGTAAAAGATTTTGTGGGGAAGGAGTTCCAAAACCTTTCCTATGCCTCTCTAGGACACATGGGGGCAATTTCACCATGATCTGACAGGTCTCTTGTACTCTAATTCTTCATGTTTTTTTAATGGCCATTAGAGGATTCAATGAGGGTTTTTTCCCCACAAAGATCCACTTTTGTAAGAAAAAAAAAGGCAGAAGGAATTGCTCATATAGCCTTCCAGTGTGCAAGTGTGGGCATGTGTGGCCTCTGAGCTTTCTAAAGATTGCCCACTCCTGGAGTTAAATGTCACTTTTCTACTTTAAAAGAGATATCTTTAAAAAATCATCCTTCTACAATACCAATGTGGCATAAATTATTGTAATATTCAATGACTATATGACCCATGAAAACTAGAATAAGAAAACACTTTAAAGCAATATGATTTGGTTTATGATATCATTTCCATAGCAGCTGTTTGTAACAGAATATAAAATGAAACAATAACTATCTCTCCCTTAAAAGCAAACATTTGTTGTACTTCACCTTTACAAGGAACAAATCCAGTGAGATGTTTTAATATTAACAGCTATGCATAAGAGAAATTCAACAACTGGTTTCTGCATAGAGTGATTCTCACGGGACAGTCCCACTTATTAAGAGACTCATTCTATGACAGGCACCACCCCTTGGAAGTTATAAAAGTGTCATGATCTCCGGCTGACCAGAGATAAGTACAAAACTTGATTGCTTTCATCACACATCTTTGTGTCCCATTACTAGCACCAAATAGACAAATAAACAACAGAAACTGAAAGAGACTTTGTTTCAGATGATTGCTGGCAAGAAATGACATGGTCATCAATCAGTGAATCATTTTTTAAAAAGTTTCCCTGCAGGTAGTTTCAAGTATCTTGTGCTCCTGTAATTTGTAGGGATTCATCACTTTGTATGTGGTATTAAGGGGACATAGTGGCACTGTGGGTTAAACTGCAGAAGCCTCTGTGCTGCAAGGTTGGAAGACCAGCAGTCATAAGATTGAATTCACGCAATGAAGTGAGCTCCTGTTGCTTGTCCCAGCTCCTGCCAATCTAGCAGTTCAAAAGCATGTTAACATGTGAGTAGATAAATAGGTACCACCATGGTGGGAAGGTAATGGCGTTCCATGTCTAGTCGTGCTGGCCACATGACCACAGAAACTGTCTACAGACAAACAGCTTGGAAATGGGGATGAGCACCGCCCCCTAGAGTTGGACATGACTGGACTAAATGTCAAGGGGAACCTTTACCTTTACCTATGTGGTATTAACTTCCATGCTCCACAATTAGATGAAATGACCTCTTCTTCTTTTAGGCACACTGACCTGAATTCTTTATGAAAAAGTGGAATGCATTTGAGTGTAACTAGGTAGTGTTTTCATGATATACACAGAGCACTTGGCTTTATGATGTCTCCAACCACTTTCACTGCAATGATTCTTGCACCTTAGCAGTTGCAACAGTATTGGCAAGCCTGCTCTTTCTACCATGTTTCTCCCAATCAGTAACTCCCAGATACAACTGTCTGCAAAGGGGCAATGAAAGGGACTGTAAACATCTTGTGAGCATTTGCCATTTCATTGGAACAAAGGATTTCTGAATATTGTTTTTGGATCATGGATTAGGGCTAATCAGACATTTGCTTGCGTTTTGGTTTTTAAATTATTACAAGCCACAGTGTTTCTAACAGCATGGATAAAGTGCACTATACGGGCCAACCACTATAAAACAAAACTCTTTTCAAAAATGAGAACATATATGTTTGAGCATGCAGTGCTGCAGCCTGATCCAAAGTGAACAGGATCCGGATTAAATCTCCAGCATGACAGCAGGAAAGGAGCTGCTATTTGGTCATTTAAAGAGGTGAAACTGAAATGGCCCTTAAGGTTTAGGGGAGTTTTTATTGTAGCGTTAAGTTGGTTTATCCCTGTTTTTCTGCTTTATAAAGAGAATACCTCTTTTTCTCAGTAGCATTGATAGAAACACAGTTTCAAATTATTATAACAAATTTTTTTGGGGGGGGGGACTATGACATAGCTGCCAGAGTTCATGTGCTCTTCTAAAGTAATAAATAGTAAATAAATAGTTTTTTAAAAAACACCTAGATAAATCTTTTGACCATAACTTTCAGAAGATCTATCACCCATACAGATTATTTTTTAACGAGGCTAGCCTGCAATTCTGCATCAAAGGCCATCTTGTCAAAAGTGCGCATGTTCATCTCTTCCCGGACCTTTTCCCGGACATGGAATGATGCCCGAGCAACAGACCTGGCATTTTCCAGGACTGTTTTTTTCTCCTTACAAATCTGTTCACTCCGTTCTAGCTTTTTCTCAATAGAGAGCAGGATCTCCCTGCGGCGAGTATCTTCACACTGCTCTACTTTCCTCTTGTTTACTTTTTGCAACTTTTCTTTCTCCAACCGGCTTTGGACCACCTTTCGGGCTTTCTGCTGGACACCTTCCTCAACCACCTGGGCAGCGTGCTGGAGCTTCCTCTCTGAGGCTTCAGCCAAAGCCTTCAAGTGCTCCTTCTGTTCCATGGCCCTTTTCTCTGCCACCAGCTTGGCCCTCTGAAGTTGCCTCTCCTCCCGCTTCGCTCTCTCCCTCAGTTCCTGGTTCCTCTTCTCAATCAACTGCTCATAGTTCTCCTGGGCCTTATTTAAGTTCCCTTCCAAGGAAGCCCGGAGTACAGCCTTCTCTTCGGCTTCCTGCTTGGCCAACTCCTTGAGTATGGCCGCGTGCTTCCGCTTCTCAGCTTGGTTGAGCAGCTTCTTCTCCCTCTGTAGCTGCTGCTCCTTCTTCAGCCTTTTCTGGGCAGCCAGGGACAGCTTCTCTTCCAGAAGTTGTATCTCTTGTTCAATGGCCTCTTTCTTGCTTTCTTCACGAGCCTTCAGGTTGTGCACCTGGTGGCACTTCTTCTTCTTGTCTTCAAGGGCAGCCTTCTCCAGTCGCTCTCTCCTCATCCTCTCCTGCTTCTCGAGGTGTTCCCGCCACTTCTCCTCCTCCATTAGGCTCTGCTTGTATTTCAACAAGGCGGCCTCCTCTTGCTCACGAGACAGCTTGGTCCGCCGCTTCTCCAGCTTGGACTCCCACAGCCGGTGGCACTGCACCAGGGCCCTCTGCTTCTCCCTTTCCTCCTGCTCCCGCTTCCGCTCCACCTGTCTCCGCTGGAGGTCCCACTGCAGGTGGGCGCTATACCTCTGCTCCTTCAGGATGCTCTCCTCCTGCTGCTTGGCTATCATGAGGGCAGCAATCTTCCGGTCCCTCTCCGGCACCTCCTTGAGGCCTTTCTTCTTCATCTCCCGGACAATCCTCTCCACTTTCTTGGTGGTCTGTGGGGAATGGCTCAGGTCGCCCAGGCTGAAACTCCGACCCACCAGGGAGGTCATAGTGGCCACTGTCTTAGTCCTGGGCAGCTCCTTGGGCCATTTGTCCCGAAAACTGTCCCCACTGTAGGAGGAAGAGGCTCCGGAGTCAGAGGAGGTTTTGGTAGATAAGCCCTCTCTCCTCTTTTGCAAGGAGTCCAGGGAGTGGCTCTTCTTGGCCCTGGTGCCCGTGGCAGGAGGGGCAGCCGAGGGCGGCCCTGCCCCTGGCCCAGCCCGGGGCTGCCTTGCCGGGCTGCCGCCCCCATTGACCACGGGGGCCGAGGAGGCGGCGGCCGGGTTGCTTTTGAAAGCGATCCTGGAGGCGGGAGAGAAAGGCGGGTTGCCGATCCCCAGAGGCGCGAAGAGCCTCCTCTTCTCCTCGCGGATAATCCTTTCCCTTTCCTCCCGGCACTGCTGCAGCTTCCTCTGCCGGTCCAGCTCGTAGACTTCGTAGAGGCCGGCGGCCACTCGCATGGACCGGCCGGGGGCCTCCTTGACCAGCTCGCTGAGGGACCGGGCCAGGAGCTCCACCGGCTTGACGGCGCACCGAGCGCAGGCTTCCAGCGAGCGGGGGCTGGTGAGCACGTAGCGGCTGCCCTCGGCCTCCGGGCAGTCGAAGTTGTACAGGTCCAAGTGCAGCATCGGCGACTCCTC